CGCGCCGCACGGGGGCGCCTCTACGACCAGGAGAGAGCAGGGCGGTGAGGGGAGCGCTCCGGGCCGCGCTGGGGGCCCTCCCCAGGGGCAGTCCGACCCCCCCCGCACCTGCGCTGGGCGCCGCGCAGTCCCGCTCGTCCTCCCCGTGGTCGCAGTCGTCGTGGCCGTCGCAGAGCCAGGTGCGCGGGAAGCAGGCGCCGCCGGGCGCGCAGCGGAACTCGTGCTCGGGGCATGGCGCGGGCCCTGACCGGACGCGGACGCGGCTGTTAGCTGGGGCTTGGACCCGTCCCCCCCGCCACGCGGCCCGCGCACCAATGAGGAGCGGGGGTGTGCGAGGGGGGCGGAAACACGCGGCGCGCAGCCAATAGGCGCTGCCGAGGGCGTGTCCCGCCCGCACCGCTTTACAGCCCTTGCGCCCAGCATGAGCGGCACCCCCCATCCCGACCTTGTGCAGACGACTGGAGGCGCGCGGGCACCAGCAGCCCCGCCAGCACCAGCAGCAGCACCAGCACCCGCCGATCCGCCATATGCCCCCGGCCGCGACGCAGCAGCAGACGAGGAGAGCGCAGGGTGGTCGGGGCAGGCGCAGAAAACTGGGGGGCGGGACAGCGTGACGCATGCGCACATCGCAGCCGCGAAGTCCGAAGGGGAGTGGCCATGCGCGGGGAGGCTGTTGGCGACCCTTGGTGGACCAGGTGCCGCGCACGTGGGCCGGGCCGTTCTCTGCCCCCAGCCGCCCGGGCACTGGTGCGCATGTGCCACCGCTACACACGTGTCACCGCCCTTGAACCCGAGCCTGACCCGGCTTGTCGCGCTGCAGTCTCGTGCGCCCCTCCCTGCTCCAGGACTTCTGCCAGATTTTTGCAGCAAGAACCAAAGCCAAGTACGAACAGCCACCTCCTCCCCCCGAAGTGTTGCCGAGCCGGGGACAGGGGCAAGATGTTCCTACTCTGCAAAATTCAATTTTCTACAGATGTCCGTGGTGGCGGATGTAGAACAAGGAACAGCGGCCCCAAGTTGCAACAGCAGAAGTTTAGGGTAGAAATGATGAAAAGCTCTTTCACCAGGAGGGTTATAAAGCACTGGAACAGGCTGCCAGAGAGGCAGCAAACTCTCCATCTCTGGAGGTTTTTAAGACCCTGGCAGAGAAAGCCTCAGTTGGGATGAGCTAGTTGGGGCTGGTTCTGCTTTGAGCAGAGGGTTGGGCTCACTAGAGCAGTGTTTCTCAACCTCTGGGTCACAAGAATACTTGAAAGGGTCTCAAGCAAACAAAAAATGGATCAACAAACTTTAAACACACGTTCTCCTTTAAAGGAGAACAACATAGGAAACCATGGCTTTCCCCGTGCAGGCTGGCAGAGTCCAAGCCTGCAAGGAGTGATTGGGGCCCCCTGCCTCGCACACTGGGGCCTGGGGGGCAGCAGGTCAGGAGTGAGGGGCATGGGCTGGCCGCTGACCTTTACAAATGGGTCCTGGTGCAAAAAAAAAAAGGCTGAGAACTGCTGC